TAAATAAATAAATAAATAAGGATCAAAATGAGCAACATGATATGTGCTTTGGGAATAGCTTTGTCTCCATTCAAACCCAGGTTTAAAGCCTTGCAGGGTAGCCTAAAGCCCACTGCTCTCATTAAGACAGAAAAAAGAAAGAGAAAAAAAGGTGAATGTCAGTTCAGTGGTTTTATAAAATCTGTGAATCAAGAAATTGTCTATATAACAAACTGAAAGATTGGAAAAAATTTCTTTTTCTTAAGATTTAGTTAAAAATTCAATGTATAACATGAATGCATAAACACCTAATTTCAGTGTTAAATTCTGTTTAAAGAAACAGATCATTAAAAAGGTCTCTGGACCTTTAGTGGTTGAGGATTTTCTTTATTCTGACCCTGCTGATTTTTAAATAGTTACCCCTGGTTTAATGTTTATAAACATTTATTTCAAATCATGTGAGCCATCCAATGAAGATCATTGGCGCCATCCACATCTAGTGAAAACTAGTGTAATTGGATGAGTCATATAATGCAAACACTCATTGGTTAGCTAAAGAAAATCATCAGAAGCAAGCAGATGTTCTTCAAACTGCAAATGCGAATTGTCTATGCCATGCTACAATGTCGGAATCATTAAAAGATGTTGGTCCTATCCCAAAGAATGTTTGTAATTGTCGAAAAATTAAGCTTTCAATTCATATAGTGGCATCTGGTTGTTTTTTTTTAAAGGTTACTTTATACCGTTATACTTTAAGTACGTTTTGGAGCACATACTTTTTTACTTTTACTTGAGTAAAGAGGTCAAGTTGATAATTCAACTTTTACCAGAGTGTTTTTAAATTGCAGTATTTATACTTCTACTTAAGTAACAAATGTGTGTACTTTTGACACCACTCCTCCTGAATGAATAATGGACAGTTTGAAGGTGGTTGAATGTAAGCTGCTTTGATTTCATGAAACCAATGAAAAACACACTTACACTTCCTCAGACCTGGTTTCAACCATCGGACTCCATCAGGCTCCCTGAAAGGAGGAGGGGGGATCAGACCATCAGTGTCTTTCAGCAGGAAAATATGGACATAGTAATCAGTACTCAAGTTAAGCAGGGTTGAC